ATCAAGTCAGTTACGACGACGAACTGCAGTCAAGTCGAGACCCCAATGAGTGCGATGAGCATGCAGATGAGCTTCCCTGAGACGGTTTCTGAGAGTTTGTGCAGAAATTCTTTGGTTATGCAAACTGATTGTTGCAGCAGCTGTCCGGGTGTCTGGTCTCAGACGATCTTGGAGGTGAAGATGCTGGATGTGGAGGTCCTAGGCAGTTTTATGTACTGCCAAATTCTCTGAAACGCCTTTGGAGATGGCTTATGGTAGAGAAATGAACATTCAATTCATGGGCAACAGCTCTGGTGGACATTCCTGCAGTCAGCATGCCAATTGCACACTCCCTCAAAACTTGCGACATCTGTGGCATTGTGCTGTGTGATAAAACTGCACATTTTAGAGTGGCCTTTTATTGTGGCCAGCCTAAGGCACACCTGTGCAATAATCATGCTGTCTAATCAGCATCTTGATATGCCACACCTGTGAGGTGGATGGATTATCTCGGCAAAGGAGAAGCGCTCACTAACACAGATTTAGACAGATTTGTGAACAATACTTGAGAGAAATAGGTCTTTTGTGTACATAGAAAAAGTCTTAGATCTTTGAGTTCAACTCATGAAAAATGGGGGCAAAAACAACAGTGTTGCGTTTATAATTTTGTTCAGTGTAATTACATAATTTCAAAAACTAAATGCTCTTCATGGTTTCCATTTTATTACCAATGAATTTATATTAAAATTAAAATTTTTGTAATTTCCATGACTTCCAGGTCTAGAAATCACACTTTTAAAATTCCTTGGTCGTTAAATAAAAATGGCCATAGTTAAGGGAACAAATTAAATTAAGAAATATATTTCAGATCTTTTTCTTGTTAGCTTTTCTTTTTTTTTTTTTAACTAATTAAAAAAATGTAATCCTTAAGCCATTTAAGTCATCTTGCGGCCCCCTAGTAGGTCCCGGCTCCCTGGTTGAGAACCGCTCGTCCAAAGCGTGTTTACATAAAAAAAAAAATGTTGGTTACCTGGGCTCTGTCCACCAAGAGATCATTTCCATCTGTCCTTTTTCCATCCCTCCTATGTTTCTCTTGGGTCAGGGAGTGGTGTCGCCACGGTGCATAGACCCCCGTGCCCACATGGCATTGCCTGGACCCCCTCCACCCCCGTGGTCCTTGTCCGACTCGGGCTGGCTCTGAGCTCGCTCTGGTTTAGGGTTGGGTGTCATGGGTGGCTCAGGCTGTTGCACCGACATGGTGCGGCGAAGGTGTGTCCGCTTACACAGGAAGTCTGGTTTGGCTGACAGACCAAATGAGCCCTTTCGAAGAACCATTCGCACAGAAGAGCTCTTCTTGGGCCGGGCTCTGAACTGCAGGGAGGAGAGATGTACTGCATAGCCCTCACTCAGGAACTGTGATAGATCACAAGACATGAAAATATATTAGAGAAAGCTAGATCAACTTTGACCATTTATGGTGGAAATTGAATGAAAGACAAAGAAGAATCAAAGTTAGTTAACCTGGCATTGATTCTGGTACTTCTTGGAGGGCCGTCCCACTATATATATCTGGTTGGGGTTGAGGCCCAGCATGCTGTAGACGGAAATGTCCTTCATGGAGCCATAGGCACAGTTGATTTTAATGTGACACTGCCAACATGAGAAAAGGGCAAAATGTGATAGATGGCCTGAGGATACACTACAAAAACACCTCAGTTCCTGTGTGACTACTCATGCGTGAGACAGAGGAAGCAAGCGTGAGAGAGAAGGACCAAGAGAAGAATAAAGGAATAAAGTGATGTGTTTCTTACTCTTCATTCCTGCTATGTGGTATATTTGCATGTCTTCATCATATATTTGTAATGTACACTGCAATTCAAATGTTTGGGTTCAGTAAGATTTATGTTTTTAAAAGAAGTCCACCACAGCTGCATAATTTGATCCTTTTATTCCTGTAATGACAAAGCTGGATTTTCAGCAGTCATTGCTCCAGTCTTCAAGGCCACAAAAATTATTTTAATATGCTGATTTGGTGCTCAAAAAATCATTATTTTTATCAAAATAAAAAAAGTTGCAGTGCTTAATATTTTTGTGAAATCAGTGAAATGCTCCCCCCCCTCCAGAATCAATAGAAAGTTCAAAAGAACAGTATTTCTTTGAAATAGAAATCTTTTGTAACACATTTCTTGACTGTCACTTTTGATCAATGTAATGCATCCTTTCTGAATAAAAAGTATTTTTAATTTAATGCATCCAAATTTAATCCATCCTTGCCTCAGTGCCTCAATTTAATCAATCTTTTCTGAATAAATTGTGTTTTTTTAAATAAACTGATCCCAAACTTTTTAACAGTAGTGTATATTTCTATATATTGTATAAAACTTACTAAGTGCAGATATCTTATTAGCTAGTTTATCTCAATTAACTGAACATAAAAGTGAATTTTAAATAATTTTGCTGGTTGTAATGGATGTTTCCATTTTTGCCATATTTTCAGGAGCTTCTGGCATGAAAATCTATCTGGCAATTTACAACATTTGAGTGCGTTTCTTCATTTTTCTCTTAAAGTATTTCAAACAAAACGTTCTATTTTCTGAGGAAAATTGTTTTAATTAGTAATCAATATAAAGAAGATTTCTTCAATTTCACTTTCCATTATGTTAATAATTAGTAAGATTCTTTTAACTAACAAAAGACGGGGTGGGAAGCCTTTTTGGTGGGAAGCCAACAGCAAGAACACCAGCAATATTAGCTATTGATCTGAAGAAATTTGTGATGCTTTGTGGTATTCATTTATCTCACGCTACCTCTTTTTTTTTTTATCAAATTACAAAACCTATACAATGTCATAACATTTGAATTGTTAATTAAACAATTACAAAATGACACCCTCATGAAAGCTACATCTCATTGAGCATTGGTTAAATACAGCTTTTGACTTCCATCCTGTTCAACTTCAAATGTGTACATAAGAAGTTATGACTCCTAAATTGCCTGAATTTGACCAGAGCATATTTCTGAATGTCTAGTGTATCCTTTTATAGAAATACTTAAACTACAACACAGACATATTCCTATTTTACAGTTACAGAGTTCAAAAGGTACTGCAGAACAGGAATGACCCATATACTAAATTTGTGGACACAGTAGCAGAACACTTACTTCTTGCACCAAGTTCCTGAGGAAGATGGTTTTCTGGCGAAGAGGGTCGTGCACCAACCCCTCCGAGAAAAAGATCATCCCCTGGGGGAAGTTGTGTTGAGACAGCCAGGACACAACCCTCTGCTTCTGCATGTCTGGACGGCCAGTGATGTAAATGATCAGGTAGCCCAGGTCCTGCCAGTGTCTGCATGCAAAATACAACCATTTACCCTCTGAGCAAACCCATAATTCTTGGCAAAAACAGTTGGGGACTGATTCCCGGATAGTCATGGCGCCTGGTCCTCCAACAACAGATTGCATTTGACAAAGCAGTAAATTTGCCCAAGGACAGTCTGGGCAACAACCCAAGATTGTCCATTTGTAAATCCCAAACTCCATCTGATATCTGGTATCAGCACTTCGCTATCTCTCTATTAAATGAAATCCAACTGTGCCTTACTGTCAGGCCAGTTCTTTTCAATATTGCTATGGCATGAAATGAAAGCATCGATCCTCTCTCACACACGTTTACACACAAAGCCTCCCCGTGAATTTGTTACCTGACCACATCCACAGCTCCGGGCCGTACTTTAGGGTCGCTGCCCATAATGGAGACGCTAGCGGCAAATGAACCGTCAATGCTAAAGACGACACACTCCATCCCCCGAGGCAAGACCGTCAGGAAGGCCTCTGCGCTTGTCTGGTCACCCCTGCAAGGAAAGAGTGACTTGAAGTAAGGGGAGAACACAGATCCGGCTCTTGATCAAGCTCAAGATGTGGCATGAGGCCCGAGATCAATTTAACAGCGAGGAGTCCTTCTCCTTCAGCCCTCAGAGTGAGAGTTTTATGAGTGCCAAATTGAATGCTCTTTGGTATCCTCGCAAATTATCCCCGCTGAGACAACCTTGAGAGCACAGCCGTTTTGGATACATTACAAGTAATCTTCAGGGTCCCATTGACTTACTTGACAACCATTTTGATGGGGTAGACCCCCACAGCCAGCTTTTTGCTTTTGGGGATGGTGTAGGTCACTCGGCCACTGCTGTTGGTCATCTCGGTGTCTAAGTGCTTCCAGCGACCTGACTGTGGCTGGGTCATCACGTACACATCGACCTAAGAAACAAAACACAGAAACAGACAGTTGGGGGAGCGAGTGAGATGGAGGGAGATTACTGAGGCATACTAGGGTTGTCACGACCCCAAAATGTCAGTAGTCGATACCAGTACCAGTGACACTGCTCTATATCAATTTCAAAACCACAGCAAGCACTATTTTGCTATTCAATCCTTTATTTGAAGCATTAAATTAATTAAATTAATATACAAATTGAACAAAAGTGACAGTACAGACATTTATAATGCCACTAAAGATTTCCATTTCAAATAAATGTTGCTCTTTTGAACTGTACTTTCATCAAAGAAACGTTTTTAAACATTGATATTAATCAGAAATATTTGTTGAGCACCAAATCCGCAAATTAGAATGATTTCTGAAGGATAATGCGACACTGAAGACTATAGTAATGGCTGCTAAAAAAGTCAGCTTTGCCATCAAAGGAATAAATTAGATTTTAAAAATGTATTAAAATAACATAAATAAACCGTTTCTTTTCATTGAAATAATATTTCATAATATTGCTGTTTTAATGTATTTATGATCAAACAAATGCAGCCTTGGTGAGCGTGAGAGACTTTTTTCAAAAACATTTAAAAAATCTAACCAACCCCAAAACATTTGAAATGTAGAGTAAATATGTTTAATAAGAATAAATATTATGTTTAGCTTTATATGATTAATATTGTATAAGGTTGTACATTATTAATTAATATTGTATATGTCAATAACATTATAAATAAAATAAATAATCCAAAAACAGTCAGTTATTTTTTCTTTTAAATATTGTTATTTTGATTAATATTAATAACATAAATAGATATTTTAATAACAATTTTAGCTATCTTTTCCCACCTCTTAAAAGTATAATTTGAAAATGTTTATATTAGTACTTCACCAAGATAGCCAATATATTAGTTATTGGCATCAGAATGTAAATAATGAATATATTGATGCATTCGTAATTATAACTAATATGTGCAGCCACATATTACCAAAGCTGCAAATGCTATTCAGAAAGAAGTGGGCACACTGATACTGTAAAAGATACTGGTAAGGTTTCATTTGCAGCCGAAATACCAGTATTTTTCACATCTCTGAGTAGTTCATTGTGAAAAAAACAACAACCCTGTAACAATTCCACTGACAAACAGCAAACAGCTTGTTTAAATGCATATTCAGCAATAGTAGACCACTGCTCTCTCACCTTTTCCCCAGTGAGGGTCACCATATCCAGCGGTCCGTACATGAAACGACCAACCAGGGTCTGACGCCCGTCCTCGGTCACGATGATATCATTGACTCTGTGGTTGGCGGTGACATTCTGCAGACAGAAAAAAGGAGATGTCAGGTTGTCTGTGCTTTTCTATTGTTTTCCTGACACAATAGAGTCTGGTGAGAAAAATAAGACAGAGGATGAGTGTAAATGACACTGATAATACTGCCATGCACCATTTCAGACAGATGGAAAAAGAGAAATGGGCAGTTTCATAAGTATGCAGTACAAAGTCCTTCCAAAAGAGGGTGTCACACTCTAATCCTTCTATTTTCAATAAATTGCATTTCAGTAATAAAGCTGTTCTACACAGAGCTCAGTGAAGATAAATCCTATAGCCCCTGCTGAGGCAGCTGTGCTTAAATGGGTCATTAAAGCCAGCAAAACACTGAGCTATGCAAATCCTGAAAATAACTGGCCACAGTCACCTTCATGCCAGCAGAGGAAGTAGATAAACAGAGAGGAAGATAAATGCAAGAAGCTTGTACTTTGCTGCTTTATAGAGCAAAGGCAAGGCTATGAGACAGCGTCTGAATTGACAAAAGCATCTTCACATAAGCCCGACTCAAAACATCCCTCTCACATACCAGCTACTATAGTGACGAAATGCAACAGGATACTAAGGCTTAAATTAAATGGGTCTAAAAAGAAAAAAACTGCAAACAGTACTAGATCTTCACATTTTCTGAACAAAGTTTGAATGGTGATTGCCCAAGGCTTTATATGCCACAGCTAAGGATTTCTGAGTGGTTGTTAGCATGTTGCTATGCGGTTGCAAGGGTGTTTGAAGTGGTTGCTAGATGGTTATTTATAGGGCTGCATGATTTGCTGAGCTTGTTTGTGAGGCTGCATAATTTGGCAAAAATTTTGTGATTACATATTGTTATGACTAAAAAATGTTAGCATTGTTATTATGATTATTACTATTACTAAATAAAAATATGATATTTTACTGATATTTCACAGTAGCAAAAAAAAAAATCTTTCTTCTGATAATCTGTTTTATTTGGATTTATGTCACAATACAGAAGAAAACATCTGCTGCTAATTCTGTTATATTGCAACTATAAGTATCCAACATTGACTGATTTGATAAATAAAAAAACTCAGTCAATATCCAACATAGTACCAATATATCATGCGGTGATGTTTTTATGTGGTTAGAAAAATAATATACCCACATATTAACCACTGTTATTTATAGGGCTGCTGATTTGCTGAGCTTGTTTTTGAGGCTGCATAATTTGGCCAAAATGTTGTGATTATATATTATTATGACTGTTAAGTCTTTCCTTTAAGTCGTTGTGGCTGATAACAGGAGTGAGCACGTATTTAATGCGTGCAAAAACGAGTCCATGCATACTGACGTAGATCCAAGCAGAATGTCTTTATTTTGTGCAAGTGAATAAACAAAGCCTCAATCTGTGTCTCTCCTTCCTTCGTGGTCATAAACATGTACACATAAAGTGCTTATCTTAAACACAGCATATATCCACATACTGCACAATCTACATTCTTGCAAGTTACCCTTTAGCACGTTCAAAAACCGTGTGCTTCCCCATTACAAACCCCCCCCGGCTCATTACACAGGTGCTCTAATTATACTATGGTTTAGCACCACACAGTGATCACCACACAAAATTTCTACAATACAAAAAATGGCTCCTACAATGACTAAAAAATATTAGCATTGTTATTACTATTACTAAATAAAAATATGATATATTACTATTGTGATATTTCACAGTAGCAGAAAAAAATTGCATTTGATAATCATAATAATAATTACATTTTTATGCTAAAGCTAGATTCAAGTGATTATTACGTTTTGAATATGGATATTTTTCGTACAAAAATTCATCGATTCGCTACAGGAGGCCTTTGTTCACCCCCCGAGCCGTGTGAGACCATTTTTTTTAATGGATGGGCGCTTTTTATCACTAGAAATCACCAACTCTCACTGGAAATGAATAACTTCAGGTCATTTTGGCATGGTAGTGTTTACGTCACTTTAAAGGTAACATATCATGAAAATCAGATTTTTCCAGGTTTTAAGTGCTATAATCTACCAACCAAGGAAATGTGAAAAAGATTAACCCAGTAACTTTGTTTTAGTAAGCCTTTTTCTGCAAGCGTCTGAGAAAACCAGCGAGTCTGATTTTGCTCCCTTGGTGACGTGGCAAAGGGTTCTCATTATAATATTACCGCCCCTTAATCTGTATGTTTCCACCAAGCGGCAACCTTCTGGTCTCTCTCGTGAAGCCAACACGGAAGTGACTAAAACTGCAATTCATCGACTGGCCGCTAGAGGCTGGCTCCAAAAGGGAGTCAGTCCCATAGACTCCCCATGTTAAAATGCCCAACTTTACAGCAGAAAAAAAATGTTTACAGCCTGGTACAAAAAAATATTTTGGTCTATTATAGCTAATTTTGCCCATCATGACAACTGTGAGGGAGGTGAATTTTTTTATAACTCATCCGTTTAAATTATATTAAGCCTTAAAGTTCTGCATAATTAAGGGCGTGGCCACTTGAGTGACAGGTGGATTGCCGCTGCTGTCACTGACATCGAGCTAGGTGGGCGTGGTTTCAGCAACCGCCTCTTTGCCCATTTTCGATTATCCGGGAGTGACGCGCAGTGATGCGCTGCCAAGATGGCAACAGCCGGCTCCGCCTACTTTGAGCTTCAAAACCGCTCTTCAGAAACCTACGGGTGACATCCGTGGTTTCAGCAACCGCCTCTTTGCCCATTTTCGATTATCCGGGAGTGACGCGCAGTGATGCGCTGCCAAGATGGCAACAGCCGGCTCCGCCTACTTTGAGCTTCAAAACCGCTCTTCAGAAACCTACGGGTGACATCACGGACACTACGTCCATGTTTTTATACAGTCTATGGTTTCCACCCATGGCGCCGTCATTTTGATTTCGCAAGCGACAACGGTGTACTAGTTCTAATGCCATGGCGAAAGTTTGAGCAAAACACGCTAACTGTTCTGTTTTTGGCTGCACAGACGAGCACAGAACACTATTTAGAGTCCCAGCCTCAGAGGAGACAAGAGAGCAGTGGATTTATTGACTTATTTACTGTATATGGCTGCTGCCACACAGATCTAAAATAAATATGCGATTTATTTCCCAGCAGTTTACCTTCACTCATGTGTGTTTTAAATGTAAACTTGTGTGTGAATGAGAACTTAGTTAAGTACTCACATGATGTGACAGCCGCTTTCTGTCCTTGTGCTTTGGATGTGTGCACTCAGAAAACCGTATATGAGAAGTTTAAACACATATGGTTTAAAACGCATGATTTCAGCACGATAAACATGATAATCAGAACCAAAAAAAATGTTTTTAGCAGGAACAAGCTGTAAAGGCGCAGCTCTTTTCTGGAAAAGGAGGCCGGGAGCAGCAGCTCATTTGCATTTAAAGAGACAGGCCCGAAAAACAGCGTGTTTCTGCTTCCACTCAAAATAGGCATTTTCAAAATGTTATAATAAATGATCTGTGGAGTATTTTGAGCTGAAACGTCACATACACTTATATTACATATTGTAAAAAGGGGCATAATATCTCTCCTTTAAAATAACTTCTTGACATGGTCATTTTTGGATGTGAAGCTAAATACTGTCTGTGAATATTATGCTATCATGTTGGTATGGCTTGAGCCCACAAAGAGCTGTACAGCTACGTAAATCATTAGCCCACACAAGCTAATGGGAATGATTGTGCAGATTTGTCATTTAATGAAGCAGCTAAACATTTCTCAGCTTGCAGCGATTTTTACATATTAAGTCAGTCAATAATTCATCTTGACATGGGCCCATACATGATATCCATATGATGAGCTTCCAAACCAACACACATACCGATGAGATGCGCACAAACAGCCAACAAGCAACACAACGCCATATGTGCTGATAACACACCTGAGTGAATTTTCAGACACAAGACTAATCCGCAGCATATTGCTGTTTAGGAAAAGCATGTATGTTTGTGGAATGGATCCAGATTTGTGCCGACTTTATGCCTTGCAGCTCGCTCACTGAGCCAGAATGATGCCGCATATAAAATACAGAGGCATTCAGGGTCTCAACAGAATCAGGAGAGTCTTTCGAAAACAACATGACTGCATAGAAATGCCTTTGACTTGAAAGGCTAGCAAGAGCTCTGATCAAATGCTATTGAGGCCATGAGCACATTCAGAAGGGCTTAGCAGGCAGCAGAAATAACCACAATTTCAGATCAAGGTCCTGAGTGATCAAAAAACCATTCCCCGTGAAAAGAAAAGGTGGCGGTGATAACACAGAAGTGTTTCACTGAGCTATACTTAACCTCAGTGAAGGACTGGGAAGAATTGGTCTTTGTTATGGCGGGTTCTTTTGAAAGCGGGTGCTAAAATACCCTGTAAACCTGCACAGGCAGTAGTTATCAGCAGCACTGCTAGGTAATTGTGTTGATGTGCCTCCGAGCTGTAAATCAAGGTCGGCCATGATGCTTATTTTCATAAGGCGCAGATTTCTGCCCACACACGCTGAGCTATTGTGCTGCATTTGAGAAACTCAAAGCCCTGGCAGAGGGAGGATATTTTTAGTTCTTCTACAATGTCAGGACTCTGCTGCAGTCCACACTTTTACTTGAGTGATATGTATGTGTGTATCTATGTCTGTCTGAATCTGCAGACCAGAGTCAGAAATTAGCCAGGGCTCAGGGGGGAAAAATGCCATTCAAAAGGGACAAAAACGCCCTGGATATTTAAATATAGCGGCCAAAAAAATGTCCCCAATCGAAACAACTATTACATCAAAATCTACAGTGACAGCAGACAATATACTTTACAATCTGACTAGGGATGTAACGGTATGAAAATTTCATATCACGATTATAGTGACCAAAGTTATCAGGATTATCAATATTATCACGGTTTTGTTCAAATTAGATGAAAACGTTCAAAAAGAACTGATACACACACTGAAAACATTTCAATAAGTTTAATATTTGAAAATCAACAAACAACAAATACAATTAGCAGCTATATGCACATTTTTTTAGCAAAAACATTAAATTAACATTAACATGAAGCCCTAATAATAATAATAATAAATCACTTGTGTGTATATATATATATATATATATATATATACACACACACACAATGTGATTTCCGTTTGTGATCATGTGATCTTCGGTTAGGAGATCTTGTGATGCTTTTTAAAGCAAAGTTGGGGTTGATTTCGAGTTCACATACAAACATAAATAGAATAGGCTAATTAAATTTGTCT